TTGTTCATTATTTGGTGGTATGTAGAGCATTATTACTATAATCTCTAGCTATTTAAGTATTAAACTTATAGAGATTAATACTTGCTTATTCTGTCTACTTTTCTTATATATTTTTCTTATTGTTCATTTACTAATAGACCAACTCCAGTGTCTTTTTTTTTGTGCAATTGAGTTTGCCCAAAAACCTCTAGATTTGAATTGTGTTTTAGATAGCTATTTTCTTTCAATTCTTGAAATGTTTGTTTTTGCAATGTCTAGAATATCTATTTTGTTGTCTGATACCCACTCAAAAGCAAATTCTAGTTTGTGAGTATTACTTTTAATACTATTAATGTTATGTGTTGTAATGTTAAGTTTTTTTGTTTTGTTAATATGCTCTCTGCTTGTAAAGTACAAGATATTTTTGTTCTTTTCTTGATCTAGTCCTTCTCTATTAATAACTTCTTTTTCTTTTTTGCTGTCTGTGTTGTCTAAAAAGCAAAGATAATAAATATTCTTTAGATTAATATTCTTTTGCAGATCTGCTTGCAAAAAAGGTTTAGATCCTTTGCTATTTTTTCTTAATTCAACTAGTGCACCTAAATTTAAGAGTGCTGAGCAGCCTTTGGCTACTTACTTAGTTTTTCTAGATATTGCATGATTTTCTACAATCTTGTATAATGTTTATCAATTCTTGCTGCTAGACTCCTTTCTTCTGAGAAATGTTCATAGCTTAAGCTTCTTGTTTTTCTTCTTTTGTTAGGGCTTCTTCTTTTATTTCTTTATCTTCTTTCATCTTTTTAACTACTATTTTTTCTGTCTAATATTTGTTCTTTTTTATCAACTAAGTATGTTTTTTTGTTGTATCTTCTTTCTCTTGATAATATCATCTCCTTAACAGATTCTTGTTTTCTTCCTCTTGAGTTGTTGTCATGTCTTTCTTTCTTTTCTGAGCTACTACTCTCCTTTGTATTTTTTCCTTGATCTCTTTGTATTTAATAAAGTTGTAAATTATTATATCTTACTGATTTATTCTGTGCTTCTCTCATTTCTCACTTTGTAGCAAAAGTTACTTTTGCTATTTGGTTTATAAACCTGCTTCTTCTTTTAGGAATATAAACTGCTTTAGCTTTTCTGTCTTTTAGATATTTAAAAAGAAGGGTTTTTGAGAGGCCTTCTGTAATTTTAGTTAATTTTACTATGAATTTGTATCTTTAATCTCTTTTTTTGTGATCTTTTTTTCCTTTTGATATTCTAGCTTGTCTTCTATTACCTATTGGAAGAATTTAGAATATATTTTAGCTTCTATCTTTGTAGTAAATTCTATTACTGAAAGTGCTTTGCTGTTTCTTTACTTAATATATATATCTTCTATCTCTCCTATTTTTTACACATATACTTGATTTCTTAAGTCTTTATATCTACTGATAGATCTCAGACTATAATGCAGTCTATGTTTATATATTTTTCATGATCATATCTTTTCTTTGTTATTTGATCCTTTTTCTCCTAGAAATTTCATTATCATTAAGGTTGTTTCTCTCTTTGTCAAGTGTTTTTCTTCTAGAGTTTTCATTTCTTTTAAAAGGATACTGCTTTCCTTTTAGCTTTTTATCTTGATTCTCTTGCTTCACTTTGGTATCTTTTCTTTCCTTTGGGATTAAAATCAACTAATCATCTTCCTTTCTCTTAATTCTGTCAATTGCTGAGTTTCTTTTGAAGTTACAGTCAAAAGCTACTTCCACTCAAGAATTTTCATTTTTAAATTTTTCTTCAACTTTCTTGATGTGTTTATTCTCACCAAGAATACTTTTAACATACCCAGCTCTATCTTCTGCTAAGCTTCTTGGAAGACTATATACTGGCACATTTGCCAGAAATAATTGTTCATCTTTAAGCTATCTCTTTTTCTGATTTCTATTATGGCTCCAAAAAGGCGATTACTCAGTTACCTAAAAATTTAGCATCAAGACTTTGGTGTTGAAATTTGTCTTCAGCCAACCTCTTAACAATTTTACAAATAACTAGCAGCAACCATATTTGGCTACAAGTCATTATGGCAGCAATCATATTGGCAACACAACTTCATATAGATTCATTATCATTAAATGAAACAATATTGAAGCTGAATGTTATTTTAATATAAAAAAATAATTTTTTATTCTTTGAACATTAAATGTCTTTTATTTGTTCTAAGAGTTTTTAGCATTAAGAGTAAACAAATAATTTTTGGTAGGTTCCATGTTATAAAAAAAATAATAGCAATAAAATGAAAATGTATTTGAGCTTGAGCAATCTCCTTGATTACTCTGCCAATGATAAATTTTAACCAATCAGCGCAACTTTATGAAAAAAAAATTGATGGTCGCAGCTCCAGGTTTTTTGTCCAAAATCCCCTTTTGTTTTAGCGAAGTTAGTATTATAATAACTTCTTAAAAATAGATCGAACAAGTTTATTACCATGCTAACTTCTCTAAAACAAAAAGGGATTTTGTTCATTTTCAATAGTGGAGTCCTACAACACTAATAATACCTCCTATGTACTTTTTTTTTTATTTTTCCTTTGTATTTTTAAAAAGTACTTTAAACTGCATCAATAATGTTAAATTAAATTGATTTAAACAACCAATCATATGAAAGTCGCCCTAAACCTACGAAGGTAAATAGTGAAACGGTTTCCCAAAAATTTTATTTTCTGAAAGCAGTAATATAAATTGGTCAATTTTGAGAAAATCAAATAATTAAGAGAAACTGAATTATACTGAGAATTGCTGCTTAAAGAGCAAGCCCTATCTAAATAGTCTGTGACTACTTTATTATTTATTTTAATTAGCCTACAAATTTTTCTTATATATAATTGGTAATGTATGAAAATTATTTATATAATAACAAAAGCTATTAACAGAATGAGTAGAATGAGTGAATTTCAATCGTTACAAAAAAATTTAACAAAATGAGTAAAATGAGTGAATTTTAATCGTAACAAAAAAAATATTGTTTGACAGAATGAGTAAAATGAGTGAATCTCAATCGTAACAAAAAAAAAAATCATATTGTTCAATCCTTGCAAAGTTTGTAATATTGCCAAATTATCTCGTTTTACGACTTTCAACTTCGCCTCCACCCGCAATAATACCAACGCGCAAAGACGCCATTAGATTTCTGGCGGCATTAGAGTGATCATAAACGCCACCATTAAAAGATGTCGTCATATCCTTCCCTATTGAAGCTGCTATTATTGATCTACCACCAGGGTGTTCTTCAATAAATTCACTAACATCATGAATAATTCCTTCAATACAAATCCAACTGTTCTCTGCTGCGTTGTCCACAACTAGTTTATTTTGATTAATTAAAGTTAATTAAAAATGGGGGAAATTATTTAAAAGATAAATAAATAAATAAAATATAAAAATAGCTTACATTGTTCAAAAGTGTA